ACCCAACCAGGTCTTGAGCAGGGGCAACTTTGGAAAAACTGCCCCTCAAACTTATTGCTGAGCTTGAGGTTCTAAGGTGACCATCTCCATCACCATCATCAGCTCTGAGAGCCTGTGCCTGTCTGCAGCTCACTCTGCCCCCTCCTCTGATCACCCAGGCCTCAGGTCGTAAATTATCTTAAGTCAGCAGTGTTTTATGTTCTCTGTAAATTAAACTGCTTCAACATGATTAGAGTTTGGAGCTATGCTCTCTACTTGACAACATTTTGATGTCTTTCATGTTTCTAAAATATCAAATGTCATGTTCGTGATTTTTTTTTTCCTGGTATGATGATCTTTATGTTGAGTACCATATAGAGATGAAGGCAAGGCTGTGCTTGCAGGAATTTGTCTAAATTTAATTTCCGAGTGGTTGGAAAAAGTCTTCACAATCTCAATTTGGATTCTGTAATAGGGATCATCTTTTAGAAAAATGCTGTTGAAAAAGCTCATAAAATTCTTATCTGTTTAAAAACACTAGCATTAATTTACCGTGACCTTTGTAAAAGCTGCTTTTATTTGCAATGTGGCTCTGTTAGAAAAAAATGTAAGGTTATAAGGAGAGACTTTATATTTGAAAACGTTGCATTTTGTTTTTTTAATCCAGGCAGACTAAGGGAAAATGCACTTTTAAAATAAAGTTGTTAAAATATTTTGATGAGGTCTCCTCAACTATGTTTAAGGAAAGCTATCCTTAGTGTTAGACAGAAGAGTGTCATGAGGATCCCACATCTTCCTAGATATAAATGTTGGAAATAACTGGACAAAGGGTTTGTTCTAAGATTTGAAAAGTGTTGAATCACAACACATGGTCTGTAGAGAACATTACCTTGTCCAGGTGCCATAATGGAGGAAAATGGGAAGCAATTTTGCTCCTAAGATTTGCCAGTTGAGACAATTATTGGCCTTGTGGATTCTCCTTTGACTTAACAAAACTATGTTTTTCTGCCCTTTAATGGTGTATCCTGAGACAGCCAGCTTAGTCCACTCCTTGCATGTTCTTTCATTGCAATGTCAAGAAAAATGTTGGTTAAAGATCGCTAAGTCTTTTTCTACCTCAATTCCTACAAGTCTCCTAAATAAATTTTTTTCCTGTTAATTGATAATGCTTACACAGAAATGTCATTTACTGTATATATAACTTTGATAATGTTGGTGCCCTTTTTTCTGATTAAATGCATCGTTTTGAGCACTGCACAGAGAAAAATCTTGTATGCTTGTTTCATGTAAAATTACAGCTATGTATTTGGGTGTGCACACAAATACTGTTTTCTGTACCTCTGAAGTTATTAATGGAAAAAGAAGCAGATGGTATTTCGGGTGATTCAGTCTTTGTTCGGATAACTTATAGAATATCATTGTTGGTGTTTGGATGGCTTCCAAGTTCTTTTCAGAAAAAAAAAAATCTGATTTTCTGGTTGTGTTTAAAACAAAATTAGAGGGTTACTTTATATGGGACATGAAAAAAATGAGGGGTTTTTTTATTAGAAGAAACTTCTGAATAAATGCAGAATTTTTAGTATGTCATATGCATTTCAATCTAGCTCCATAAAAAAAGGGATGTGGATCATGCTTTAATTACCAAGATAGCTGCCTGTTTTAGAAGAAAGATGAACAGGTTGCTGAGAGTGCGAGGTTAATGCTTTCTGCAGCAGTCAGATGGCATGAGAACATTTGGGTTACCTCATTTCAAAACACGGAAGAGCCATGTTTTAAAATGAGTGGGTAGGATGAACTCTTTCAGGAATTACATGTTTTTAATTAGTGTGTCTAATAGTACTTACTATTTTTGAGTTACATGTAAAACACTTAAGAATTTGACAGTTATTTATACCTTGTGAAATAACTCAAAATTTTAACTTTTTACAAATGTAGTTTTCAAAGTACAGCCTAACTTTGCAGCTGCAGAATTGTGAAATGTATTTTATATTGAATATTTTATAGTCTATGTATGTCACAATTATCTGAAGTGCTATGCTTGTAGCTTTTATAGTGAAGGAAGCCACCGTATATACAGATACTAAGCAATTTAATTTCATGTATTTTTGCAGTTATTTTAGTTAATACACTCTTTAACTAGTATTCTACAGTAGTGTGTCATGCATTTGTTGATTGCTAGGTTTAGTTTTGCTGAAAAAGTTGAATGTTTTAACTGGTCATGCATTATATTAAAAATGTATTTATTTTAGAGCAATCATTGCAAAACATGTTATGCCTATTAAAAAAAAACCAGTGTACACAGAGGCATATATACAAGTCACATTGTGCAAAATACTATGTAAATTCCTTTTATACAAATAGAAATTTTATATAATATGTCTTAATGGATTGTATTTACATTGGTAGAAGTCTGTCTAGGCACAATATGACTTCTTGTTCAAATATGTTTAGGAAAACATATACCACTTTCAGTGATGTCTTGCTATTTAATTCTAATAACATTGTAATTTCAGAAAAATGGTTTTTCACTGTTTGTTAATTTGTAAATATTTCTGCTAGCTTCAGATTCTGGAAGTCTGTGCTTAGTTATTTTTAACAGGAGAAATTATGTCTTACTCAATGTTGTATAAAGTTGTAACAACACAGTGTGACTTCTAACATAATTCCTGCCTTGTGCTACCAATTTTTTAGGCTAATATTTTATTGATGGTACTTTTGTTTTCTTCAGCTGACAGCACGATCACTGCCTTCCATACAGTCTGATGAGAGACTTCAACCTCTGCTTAATCATCTCAGGTAAACTGAAAACATGAGTATATTCCTTCATACAGGTTAAAGTAACTGCTTTGGTAGAATGTCTTAGGTACAGGTTTATACAGCCCTCATCTGTGCAATTGGATTTCACTGGAAAAAAAAAAAAACCAAAACAAAAGTAACTCTTCAACTTAACAAAAGCTTTATATGGCATGGAACATAATTTATAGAACTAGTGTTGTTTCTAAGTCACAAAAAATAGTTATAGCTTTTATAAAATTTGAGTTTTTTTGCAGCAAGTGTGAAGTTGTTAAGCTTCTTTATGAACAAAACAGATTACAAATTGCACAGCTCAGAGCATGGGCCTTCCTTGTTGCAATCGTTTTATGCTCTCTGCTCTTTTTGGAAGATTTCATGTCATTGATGAATGGATGAATTTGTTCTTTAAATGTCATTGATGAATTTGTTCTTTAAATGGACCTGAAGAGATTGCTGAAAGTGTGAACCACTGGAGTAAAGTTTGCCTCACTCTTAGTAGTATGAGAGTGTATAAATATATATTTGTATGTGTGTGTATAGATAAGCTTTCTACTTTTTTTGTAGGAAAGGGTAAGCATAGATCTCTAGTCTCTTGATTATATACATGATTACTTTTTATCACTTTGTATGGGAGAGTTTTCTTACTATAGTAAGACAAGGTCTATACAATTAGAGGGAGATGGTTTAGAATCATGGAATTATTTGAAGTGAACCTCTGGAGATGATTTAATCAAGCCCCTGCTCAATGTGGTTAGATGTGGTTAGAGCAGGAATTTATTTTTGTTGAATTTTTAATATCTCTGTGGATAGAAATAAACACTGGATGTCAGTAACGAAAACTCTGTTTTTGAACACATACAGCTTAGCATTAAGATCACTGAAATGATGTTGGATGAATTAGAAATGGAAATGTTGAGGTTCCATCATGGCACTACTGCATGGGGAATTAGGGTGCAGATCTAGTTTGTTAGATAATGCTCCTTATTACCTATGGTGCTCTACTGCTTGAGGTATCTGTACCCAAATATGACATTTTATTTTGATTTTAAAACATCTCATGATTTTTATAATATAGGAAGAGTTTTGTGTTTTGCTGTTTTTAGTGAAAATCAGAATAAGAATAATAGCTTTCATTGTATCTCTGCTTATTTACATATGATTGAACTTTGTTCAAGAGCAATGAACGAAAACAGGGATTGCAGTGTTATTCTTACTGTTACATAGCTGGGGGTGCTTCTGAATGCCAATAACCTTCCATGATTTTATTACCCTGCATCTTAATGGGATTGTAAAAAATATGCCTCARTGGTGTACCTTTCTCCATTTGAAGATAAAGAGCAATTAAGTTAGCTTTTTATAAACTGTGCTCTCCAGGAGTAATTGCTGAGAAATTGAGAATTTCTTTTGATGTATGCTGTGCATATCTCCATGTAAGTGGAACAGTCCTTCAGTATCACAGTGATCAGTCCTGTTTGTGCTTTTCTTTTTTGAACAGGGGGAAAAGGAAAGGTTCCAGAAAAAGCTACTTTAACAGTATGCTGTAACAGATACTTGTTTAACAGTTATAGATACTATACCCTACATTCATGATAACTGGTATTTTTTGTACATTCTTAGGTTATTTTGGGTATGTGGTAAATTGCTTCCATTTTGGTTTTGTGAAAATGGAGGGACTATTTCCGATTTATTTTGTCACAAACTGAAAAAATACAAATGCTTCCAAGTTGCCTTTTTGGAWWTTTTTTTWWAATGAACAAAATATATCAGAGCTTGCAACTTGAAAAGCCACCTTTGGCAGTGAACAGACGGGTGACCAAATAGATCATCTTTGTTATTTATTTCTGTAAATCTGTGATTCATTTTTCTTCATCTTGCTCATAAGAAAGAATATTAGCTAGTTGTGGACTTTCTTTTACCTTCATTGTCTGGACTCTTAGAGCAGTATTTCATTTTTGGCATATGCCAACAGACATCTGTCAGGGAAGCAAAAGCTTAGAAATGAATGAAAAGACCATACAGTGGAAGGTTACAGAGCATTGTTTAGTTGTTAATGCCCTCCCCATTTTTGGTGCCTTTTCATACCTGCTTGTGATTTACAAATTAGCTATTCCTCAGAAAAGGTGATTTTACTGTGGATTATGTCTTCATAGACATTTTAACCTATGCCCGTTATTTTTTTAAAAGGAAGTAACATGTATCATGTAATTGGATGGTTCTGGACTAAATAATGCATTTTGTCTGTGAGTTAGTACTCTTTTTATCCTATTCTGCTTCGCTGGTGCTTTCTAGTACTATTTGTCCTAGACCAAAAAAAAGAGAAAGTTTTTGTTAAAATGTTGAAGTATTTGATTCAAGATTGTGTTTAAGGATTTCACATGCTCACAGTAAGCTACAAAGGGATTTAGCTTGCTGACACTTAAAAAATTTAAAAGAGATGGAAACTTAATATCTCAATGTGTGAGAAGAACACTTTTGCAAGTCCTGCTTTGTATGGGGTTTACAGGCTTGTAACACTACTGTTTAAAATATTCAGCTGGAGTAATTTGAGATGGACAAAAGCTGTTGTATGTAACCCCATCATGCTCGGTAGCAGAGGGCCTATACATGAATTGTAGAAGCTGAGTTAACTCAGTTAATTGGAGAAGCTGAGTTAACTCAGTTTAGTCCAGTGAAAAAGAAGCTTTAGGGGATATCAAATAGCAGCCTACAACTGTTTGAAGGACAAACATTGTCTTATTGGACTTTTCGATGGTGCCAGAGGATTTAACAAATGACAGTGGTCACATGTAGCAGCTTGGGAGGTTTAGATCAAACATCAGCAAAAATGTCTGTGCTAGAATGATAGTACAGCAGTTGGCCAGAGGTAGGTAAGTTTAGTTCATGGAGATTTTTAGGATTCAGTTAGAAAAACCTGTGGCTTACCCTGCTAGTGTTGGCAATAATCCCATTTAAAGTGGGGTGTGGGACTAAATAGTCTTTTAATGTCCTTTACAAGCAACATTTAAATGATGCTGTTAGTTCTATCTTCAAATGATGGTTCATAAGGGTGATACAGAAACCAAGTGTTTTGCCAGACAGGATTTTTTAAATGAATAACACAGTACACATGCAGACACATTCACCCTCCATCTTACTTACGCTCATCTTACACAAGCAAGTAAAGAAGAATGCATGCCTTCACAGACTGTTGTTGTGCACTATCCTTTTATTGCCAGGGAGGTGGAACATTGGAACAGATTGCTCAGAAGGTTGTGAGTCTCTGTCYTTGGAGATGCTCAAAACCCAGCTTGATGAGATCCTAAGAAACCTGTAGCAAACACCACTTTGAGCATGGGTTTGGGCTMGATGATCTTCAGTGGTCTCTCTCAACCTCAAGAGTAATGTGATCCTATGACCTAAATCCTCTGTGACTCCTCATCTTTCCTTTCAGATAAAGGGAGAGAGGGTTTCTTTACTGTGTTGGCTTTAATGCTGGCGTTAAGATTCCTAATTACTTGGTTTCTTGTTTTTGCCTGATACGAAATATTTGCAGCCCATAATTGATAAATTATTTTCTTTCTAAATTTCTAAACTTAAAAATATTTTGGAACTGCTTGAAATGATGCCATATTGTTTACTTTGTTTTTCAGCCATTCTTACGTTGGCCCGGATTACAGTGTCCAAAAGAACACTGGAAAAATTTCTCTAGAGCAGATCGATGCTGTAAGTTGTGTTTCTGGAGTTACATGGGATGTTGAAGTATAATTTTTTCTATGCAAGTACTCAATATACAAACAAAATATAAAACCTTTATCTTCTTTTTATTCATATTTGCTTTGTAACTGTTGAATGAAATTTAGTTGAAGTTCAAAATAGAGAAATTAACTGAAAATGCATCTAAGCATTCAGAGTGAAGGATTCGATCTAAGGATTCAGAGTGAAGTTACAGTGAAGTAGTTAATTTGCTGTTTAATTCTATGTACTTTCATGAATACCTAACATAATTATAAACAGAATTTAATGAAATTTTCTTATTTAACAGTCTTGCAAACTGTAGTGTTTGGTTTATGATTCCTGTGTTGCAGTATTAGTCTTTTCAATGCTGATTTTTGATTTTTGACTTACAGGAGGGGTTTGGAAAACAAGGAAGTAAAATACAATGGAAGTAAAACATAGGATGTAAAATAAAACACCATGCATAAATTATACAGAGTCAATTAAAACCATAACACCTTTATCTGAGTTTAAGGGATTGTGTGTTTTCAGTGTCCATCTTAACCATGATGGAGTGTTTCTCTGGCAGTGAAGTCCATGGCATGACTCGGATGTTAAAAAATAGCAATGCAAAGCCCAAATAAATTCGAACCTTACTTTTTTTTTTGTTAAGTCTTTGAGATGTTGCTTTACAAGAAATAATATTCTTCAGGGAAAAAAAACCCTCCTGCAGATTAGTTGCAAACTTGCTTGTTGTTTTTCAAAGATTCTTAAAAAAAAAAATCTGCTTCCCTTCCCCAACTCCCCATAACTCTATCAGAGTTACCACTTTGCCATTCCAGCTGCTAAAATAAAGCATAGTCAAGAAACATTGTAATTAAAGTTTGAAAATATTTTTCCTGAAAGCAATTAAATGTGTGTTACTTTGTAGCTGGAGACAGTCTGATACTACCACTTGTAGTACTCTGTCCTTTGGATTTTGTTCCTGAGATGGTTATGGAATAGTTTATGGACTCACTCACTTGTGTTGTGAATTCAGCCCCAAGGCTCTCTGTACATGCATATCTTTTCTTCCAGCCACTGGCATTTTCAAATAGAGCTGATTAATAATCACAGTAAGCATATATCCTACAAATCAAATGATCAGTGTGCCTTAAACAGAAATCCTTCTCTTGGTAGCTGTCTGTGAAGTCCTTCCCTCTCTGCATGCGGCAGTTGCACAGAGCCCTCCGTGACAACCACCACCTCCGGCACGGGGGCCGCATGCAGTACGGGCTGTTCCTGAAAGGCATCGGCCTCACTCTGGAACAGGCACTGGAATTCTGGAAGAAAGAATTTATCAGAGGAAAAGTGGATGCAGATAAGGTAATTCAACAAATTAAAAATATATCAATGTGTAAATGTGAGGATGTAGTTAACTTGTACTTTGTGCTATGGATTTGAATAGATGCTTTTTGAGGTCGATAATTGGGTAAAAGGTACAGTAATGTGTTTTAAAGGTGGGAGGGATTTTTTTGCTCTCTTTGCTTGTAATTTTGGTCATTTTATTGGGTATTCACCTGAACTGTGGGTAAACCAGGCAGTCCATAAAGAGGCTTTTTACAGATGAGGACTACGAAAGTCTTATGAGTAAATTACTAGGAAACCAATGTCCTTTATGAAATACAGGTACTATGTAACTAAATTAATCCACCAAGCAGATAAGTGACCACAAACAATATATCTGAAAGACAAGGTTAGCCTTTTTTGTTGTCCAAAAAAAAAATTAATTGAACAGTTATGTGTAAAGTTGTCTTGCCTTAGCAAATTTACAGTTGAAGAATGAAAGAAGAAACTGGAGACAAAAGACAGAAGAATATGTTCTAGGAAATAGTGAGAAAATACTGCTCAGTGCAGTGGGAGGCATTACTGGCATATTAGTCATTGGCCTAACTCTTGCCAATATTTTTGAGAGTACTGTGGGTGCGGAAGATGTCATGTCTAATCTTTGGAGTTTTGTGAATCGCTCTTTTATCTTGAACAGCTCAGGTAAATTGAAGCAGGCTATCTCTCTCATCTTCTCTCCCTGGCCTGTGTTAGGGCGGAGTTTCAGACCTTATCTCAGTTCTGTGGGGAGTGTGATACTTCGTTCTTTTAATATGGTGAGATCTCAGCCTTCCGGAGTACTGTGAAGTATTTTGGAGTCCTTGGTAGACAGTCTTTTGTTAACCAAGAGTCTCTGGGCCATGGCTGTTTTATACAAGATACAGGGCTAAATACTTCAAAAAATGAAGTAGGGTAAAATGAATTATGGTATGTATGCTTCTTTCAAGACACAGAAGGTAGGTAGATCAACTTGCAAATTTTTGGGGCAGGAGAAAGGGATTTAAAGATATGATTTGAATGCATATCTAAACTTCTGTTTATCTAGTACCTTAAGTGTGAGATGATTTAAAAGGAGATAGGTAGTTTATTTAAAAAACCCTCAAAATGCATTTTTTTCACAGAAGTTTCAAGAATATCTCTGAGGAGAGGTAATAATTTTGCAGTGGAATGCCAATTAATTACTAGCTTTATGTGGTTTACATGGACAGATTTTGATAGTGGTTGAGTTTACAGGATTAGGTTCTGTGAGAAGCTGCCAGAAGCTTCCCCCAYTGTCCGACAGKGCCAATGCCAGCTGGCCAGGGCCGAGCCCATCAGTGCTGGTGGGTAATGCCTCTGGGATAACATCTTCAAGAAAGGGGGGTAAAAAAGCCCCTTCACAATAGCAGCTTCAGCCAGAAAGAGAGGAGCGAAAGTGTGTGAAAGGAATAGCCCTGCAGACACCAAGGCCAGTGCAGGAGAGGGAGAGGGAGGAGATGCTCTGGGTGCCAGAGCAGAGATTCCCCTGCAGCCCATGATGAAGGACATGGTGAGGCAGCTGTGCCCCTGCAGCCCATGGAGCACCAAGATGGAAAAGAGATTCAGAGAAAGATCCCTGGAGGGCCTCATGCCAGAGGTGAGGGATATCTGAAGCAGGTTGTGACCCTGTAGGAAGCCTAAGCTTCCTGGAACAGGCTCCTGGCAGGAGAGAGGAGCCCCCACTGGAGCGGGTTTGCTGGCAGGAGTTGTGAGTCCATGGGGACTCACACTGGAGCGGGCTGTTCCTGGAGGACTGCACCCAGGAAGGAACCGTGCAGGAACGATTTGTGAAGAACTGCAGCCTGTGGAGTTCATGGAGAAGTTCATGGAGGACTGTCTCCTGTGGGAGGAACCCCACTCTGGAGAGAACGTGAGGAGCCCTCCCCATGAGAGGGAAGGAACGGCACCTGGGGCCTTTATCACCTGGGGCCTTTATCACCTGGGGGAGGAGGTAGAGAAAAATCAGGAATAAAGTCAAACCCAGAAGACAGGAGGGATGAGGGGAAGGTGTTTTAGGATTTGTTTTTATTGCTCATTACCCTGCTCTGATTTGATTGGTTATAAATTACCTGTCCCAAGTTGAGTCTGTTGCCTGTGAATGATTTCTCTCTGTCCTTATCCTGACCCAGGAGTCCTTTGCTGTATTTTCTCTTCCCAGTCCACCTGAGGAGAGTGATAGAGAGACTGGCATCCAGCCAGGGTCAACACAAAACACTAGTTGAACTCAGGAAAATCCAGACCTTTCACTTGTCATATCCTGTGCTTAAACGAACTGGAAGAACAAAAACAAGCTATTAGAAACAGTAACAGCATAATGACACACATTTGTTATTTCTGTTCTTTAAAAATACTAAAAGAACAGATCTGATTCCGCCTGCTTGTGCGTTGAACACATATGTACATGCACATATATGAAGATATATATGCACCTTGTATCCTGTGCTTTCATGGGGTTACAACTTTCTACTATATCATCTCTGTTGATAGGCCCTTGAAATAARTGATTTTATGATCATATATTTAGCTTCAAGAGTCAGAAAGCATACTTTGAAACAAGCAAGTAGTTTGTTACTGCATTTTTCACAAGCAGACTGYGACTTCCATGTAATKTTGGTCCTTGTCAAGTTCTAGATAWCCAGCTTCAAATTGGGATAAAAAAGAAAACTAATTTTTCATGCCTCTGACTGAGGTTGGTGGCTTGTGATTTTGCACAGTAGTGTCACACAATGTTTAATGTCCTGAAAAAAGGGATATTAATATAATTCTTATTGCTTTTTTCTTCTTTTGACATTTTTCTTTACCAGCATTCATGCCATTGCTCCTTTCTTGTAGGGTGGAGATAACTGTACTGTTTAATTTACTGGAGCATTGTGAAGATACATGCACGATACTTTGTGAAGATGAAGGTTAATGATGTATTACCTACTGACTCATATATTGCAAAGGGGAAGTGTTCAATTTGCTGGAAATGGTTATGATTTCAAAACTATTTGTCCACTTTTGTATTTAATGGCTGCAACATCTATGCCAATTCTCAATCCTAAGAGTTCTTGGCACACAACTTCAGTCTTCAGCAGGAAGCAAGTTTCCATGAACACATTAGCAGAGAACTGGCTAAAGCATAGTCTCCAGGCTGAGCATAGGCATATGGACAATTTGCACCAACATGAACTCCTCATGTGCTTTGAATAACTGCTGCCTCATTGGTAAAAACACTAGAAAAGTTTTTAAGAAATTATTTTTTTACCTTTGGAGAGGAATCTGTGAAATTGAATGAAGTGTAAAACCATGTAGATCAGTGGGAAAAGAAAGTCAAGTAACACCTACAAAGAAAGCACTGAAAATGGTAAAGACGCTCTGTTGGTGGGGCAGGGCAGGGAATGGTCATCTATTGGCATGTTCACAACATGCAGAATCCAAAATAAAACATTTTCTAATTTAGGCACTGCAATTACAATTAGTCTGCAAATTGCTAGGCTAAGAGTGCCTAAATGATAAATTATTGTTGTTCAGGTGAAAGRATCAACTGCCAGATAGGAGTAGATGTGTTACTTCTGACTGAATGGTTGTGCCAGTTGGCTTCRTAACTTCAATTATTTTAAGACTGCTTTGTTTTTTCTATATATTGTAATCTTACTCTAACCAGATATTAATTCTCATAGATTCTTTCACTATTTTTGCTTAAAAAGTAGCTCCTGAGCCTGTTGAAAAAAAAGGTGGGGGGAATGTGATTCCAGTATGATTTAAAAATACTTGAAAACACAAAGATAGTAAGGTGATAAGACAAATAAAATAATTACAGATGTAAAAATGCTTTGATAGCTGAAAATAAAGTCCTCTAGCAGAAATCATTGTAGTGGAGATTGCTACTGTTTTCAGAGATTCTTTGTATGATTAACCTGTGAATGGGAGGAGTTGACTGATAGTGCATTATTTTGAACAAATGAAAGAARGAATGCRGGATCAGTTTCTTTAAGGTGTTACTCAGTTAACAGCCTGGATCKGTGGTTTTGATAGAGATGGAAGGCTTTAAGGCAACCTATCACCTTTTGCTTTCCTTTGCTGCATGTACTTGTGCTGCTTGTTCTTTTTCTTAGCAGTAATTGATGTATGATGGTACAAAATGTCCTCTTCCAGTACTCTGATTTTTTACCTCTTTGTGCAGAAGTAACAGTTGCTAGTTARACACCTCTGTTGAAAATTATTTCCTTTGATATTGCAATTCGATATTGCACTGGTTTTTATTATTGATGTATATGCTACTGAAGCACAGCTTAAAATTGTACAAGAGTGTGGGGGTTTATTACTATATTTCCAAATTATCCTTGTGACAGAACAGCTTTCTTGTCCTTGTGACTTCCTGCTGAAAACAAGACATGGCTCTTGAGCCCCTGTGTTCTAGGACTGTTTCCTCACAGATGTGGTACCGCTCTGGCTTGCAAAGGCTCTTACTTGTCCTGATTCAGTCTTCCAGATTAATTTACTGTGGTTTCATATGGCCCGTTGTTTTCTATCACAGTTGATCACAAGTGGCAAGGAGCAGGTTGTTTTCTAGGTGTCTGAAATAAGCTTCTTCATCTGCTCCTGCTTGTGAAGGTCCTTTTCAACCTTCCTCAGAGTCTRTTATTGGTAAAGAAGCAAACCCTTCACAATGAAGCTTTTCAACTTGAGCTGATTCACTGATATATTCTAGGTGTTTTTTCCACACCTGGTGATCATGTAAGAAGCTGAGGACTGACAAACTGACAGCCATATACCACATCAGTACGCAAAGGAATATGTCTCCTACTCTGTTAAAAAACAATAAACTTTGGGATGAAGATACAAGCCAATGAGATAGTTCCAGTGACTTTATTTTCCTAGCTGCTCAATTTCTTTTCCAGATGATCCTAGGAGGCCCTTGAGTCTGGATTCARGAGTGAGCTTTTACCTCAGTTGCAAACAGCTGATGTTGAATATTTCTTCCAAGGCCAACCAGAWAT